CCCCCTACCCCCCTTTCGCTTGCTTCGACGACTACCTTTCTCCCGCCCGACCCCCCTCCCCCTTTTCATCCTTCTCCACCCCTCCGCAGACCTCCAGACCCAGCCCAGCCCCCCCGCCGATGGAGTGCCGGTGGAGCCGCGCCAGTCCCTCGTGTGCGTGCCGACAACACAGGTGCAGCACGGCGCCGGCGAGCACCCGCACCTCGACGCGCACCGCACCTGCAGCGCGGCGTACCGCATCCTCGACGTGCCGTTGCGTCGCAGCGTACCGCCTCCTCGAAGTGCTCCACGCACTGCGGCCGCGTTGGCCAGCGCCCCTGCCCCCGCCAGCAGGTGGACATGCGCGTCAGTGGGTGTGTGTGCGAGTGCCGCTAGGCAGGACTTCCCTCACGCTGGCTGAGTTCAACAAGGGATTACCTCAGTCACCTGCAGGATGGGGCTCACCACATGCGCCGGGCCGCTGCTCGCCGCCGTCATGCTGTTGGGTGAGTCGAGCTGGAAATTATATTGTCGTGGTCTATCTGGTCTATAGCCCCGACTAGGTTCGGCGGGCCCGGCGCCGGGCGCCCACCACCAGCCCGCGTGGGCTCCTCGGCCGGCCCTTTCTCGCCCCAGGTCCGGGATATAACGGGAGTCGGGTTGAGGCGCGGTAGGCGCGGTGGGAGCGGGGAGCCCCACGCGGCCGCGGCCCCGGGCCAGGGCTGGGGCAGGCAGCCTTTACCGCCGCACGTGTCTCTCGCTGTAAGCTCCGCTGAAACTCGAAAGGGAGAACAGCAGTGGGACATTTCTTATGGGCAAAGTTGACACCTCTCAAAGCCGTGTGTGCAGTATATAAGGGAGATCAGAGGGACAAGGACAAACAGACAGACAGACAGACAGACAGACCGACCGACAGACAGACAGACAGACAGACAGACAGACAGACAACTACAATCTCTCTAAAAATCCAGACCACAAAGTTTAGGCGTATAACAGTCAATTCGAATCAGTATCAAATTCCACAATACCAGGTGGCTGATTAACCCCGCGCACATCTGTAGTTGAACTGTACCGCACGCACGTGCGGGCGGCTTGCCTATCGCCCCTGTCCACGGCGCCTTACGGACCGGTCGAGTAGGCAACCCGCCCGCACTCCTGTGTGCGGTACAGTCTAACTACAGATGTGCGCGGGGTTAATCAGCCACCTGGTATTTCAGAACTATCTTGTATTGACCACAGATATTTGACTATCGGCAACGACAGCCTGCCTTCATTTTTCTACGCAGTTTTGCAGTGTTTATTTTTTCAGAAGTTACTGTAGGCAGTTCAACGCTTCCTTTGTCCCCCTACCTATAAAAACCAGCGCCAATGAGCCAGGAGGTGGGTTTGGGCACGCTGATTGCTCAATCTTCACATCTCTTCGTTCGTACCGTCCCCTCTCTAGCGCGGCGGAGGAGCCGCCGGGAAAAGTTCATCCCGGAGAACTCTGCGTCGGCACGCCACAACGGAGGCTGTTGGCTGTTGTGTTTACCTTGCCGATCCCAATGTCTGTGCACTGTACCTGCGCAATCCATATTGCTTGAAAAAAAAAACCGTGAAGGTTTTCCTCTTTGTTAAATTATTCAATCATAAGCTGTAGTTGAGGGAAATGCGCGCACGAGCGTTCTCGTGCGCGCCTGTTAGGTAGACACCCTGCGCGCACATGTGCGGTGGGTGGCCTACCCCAGCAGCTGATGAGTATGAGTCTTGCAGGTCTGCTAGCAGACTGCAGCAGGCCTTCGGAACTGCGAGACTACCCTCCTCTAGTGACCAAGTGTGTCGGTTTCAATGTATATATGAACAAAAATAGCAGATTGTTAGGTAGGTATAAGATCAAAAGATTGGTACAATGTGACTAAATGATGAAAGAGCGCGCTCTGAAATGACAAAGGACCTTTGCGACCCCAAAGTAATTAAGCACGCGTTTAAGAATGGCGTCGTCCATGTTGTGGACCGTGCAGCGCGGCACAATGAGAATGCGCCTCCCGGCAGCCACCTCGCAGCGAGAGGCAGGCGGTGAGAGAAATCGTCCGGCCGATATTTATTGGTCGCGGCCTGCGGCCCCGCGCCGCCGCGCCCATCAGCCCCGCGTGAGCTCCTGTCCCAATCAGAGGAATAGCTCGACTGACTGAATTCGCCGCGGCCCTAGGATTAACGTTGAGAACGTGGCCACATACAAATCGAGAAAACAATGTTTCAGAAGCATGTCATCCGTCGTTTTGCTCACTTTATGAACACAAATCTTTTTTTTTTACGGTGCCATAATATCCCCGCCCGTGGCTGAGCTGAGCTAGACCTTGCCAACGCGTCTCGCTCTAATAACTAAGAGATGGACACCTCCCGTGCTCCGGCGTGCCCCCTGCATATCCCTTATAAATCGCCGTGGTATAATGTATAATTACAAGGCAGTGCGCACTGCAGAAAAGAGAAATAGAAGTACATCTGTTCGAAAAGGCGAACTCACATACCTCATTCTGCCGGCCCTAGGTGCGAAAGGAGCGTGAAAGAAAGTTAAATGAAAAATTACTCCATGCCTTTAATATTGTACGATCGTCCTCCCTTACGTGTACCATAAACTCTGAAAACTTGAAGTTTTTTGAATTGAGGTGCATTTACTCGGATTGGGGAGGATCGTCGGGTCGGACCACCACACCTCTCTCCGGCTATGGAATTCCCCCAACGAAGAGTAGTGTATCTCGTGCCAGGCCGGATTGGCGAGCAGCAGCCAGCAGCATTCTGCAGTTTCCAACCGTATAGTAGGCAGCTCAGAATGGCAGTGAGAATTCTTCTTTTCTCCTCTCCAATTAATCGTCCTCCGAATGTTAGTCAGCTGAGTGACTGCTATCATGACCATGGTCATTGACTCGGGCAAGCGAAGCGGCACGATATGACGCTTCCGCGAGAGTAGTGGACGGAGACATACCGGCGCTGGCCCGCCGGCCATAGCTCCTAGTGGGTGGGGAGAAATCAAAACATTACTGGCCGGTCATTCAGCCAACACGACGGCCGGTAAACAGGAACGACCCACCAAGGACCTTGACTATTTTTTTTTCGAGACGCACTTACTGTGAGCGTAAATGGTCTTTTTCTTAATGTGTAAGGGACCAAGAATAGAACAAACTCACAGCGGACTTTTTTTTTGTTGGAAAGCCGCAAGATACTTCTAATTGTGATCAGGGGGAGAGATACGTTTGTTCTTTGCGAACTTCCGGAACGCGATATCGGTTCGGAACACCCAACTGCGTTTAGTAATATGCTGCGATGTGCTCGTGGGCGGACAGTCTCTCGACATAACGCTGAGGGCGGGGCGGGGCGTTTGCCGAACAAAATGCCGTAATAGTAATGATACGTTCTGATGACTTTCTTCCCGCTCCCTTCCTTCATTCCTACATTCTGCACGACACGAGTGCGGTAAGCGATGCGGAAAATTGCGTGTAGGCGAAAGGAAAAGCTTCTTTAACTGTCAGGAACAAGAGCGACAGTTCAGGAAAAAAAAGCCGTTCATTGTGCATTTATACGAGAAGGCTTTAATTGTCTCTTGCCTGGTTCTCAAAGCGCAACTCATTGGGAGGACGTCACCTCCCTTCCCTTCATCACCCATTCATTTTGAGGGCAGCAGTTGTACAGTTTTTGAGGAAAAACTTACGGGAAATGTCTACGGTTCGACCCGTCAATTTGTAATCAGGTCTGCGACCGTAATTTTTGATCACGGTCTACTCCGTACGATCCATATCTTTACGGTCTGGCCAGTACATAAGATATACGGGACGGACAGTAGGAAAACCATACTTCCTTACGGCAGTTTTAGCAGTGGATAGCGCCTGCAACGCGCTGGGTGGGCCAACCCGCCAAGCAGCCGTGTAGAACTGTGAATGTTCGTGCAGGTAAAGTAAGAGAGAGAGAAAGAAGATAGGATACGGAACGGGTGCGGTACTGATGCGAAGACAGTGGATGCAATGCTCACGGTTTCGTCTTTCCCTTTTTTTCTCCCACCGCTCCCTCGCAGACTGTGCCCGTTCACAAAAACTCTACTGCAATGCTTGATAGTTCTATACGAAAAGCTGAATTGCCTTGCCTCGCTTCACGCGCCTCGTATCGGGAGAGTCGGAGGAAGGGAGTTCGTTAGGCCCAGGCATGACTGACTACTAAAGCTGCATAATTTCAGTAGGTGGCTGATTAACCCCGCGCTCTTCTGTAGTTATGCTGTACCGCATGCGCGAGTGCGGGCGGGTTTGCCTATTGCCCCTGCCCACGGCGACTAACGGGCCGAGCTATAGTAGGCAACCCGCCCGCAAGGAGGAATTCGGTACAGCAGTACACAGAAGTGAGCGGAGCTAGCCAGCCACCTGGTGATGTTGGGGACGTACCTTTATTTATCCATACCCTTCTAATGCCCCCCCCCCCCGGAAAAAAACAACGTCATATTGTTTTATTCCTACCTCTGGACGTTATACAGGAGTAAAGTAGTTATGAGCAGGAACCGGTGACCGCGGCAACATTGCCCCCTGGCCGGTCCGACCATGGTCCAACTCCTCGGCACTTTCACTTACGCAGTGACTCATCGAGGAGTGGCATATGGCGGAGACTTTTGTCATCCGCCCTGATCACGCACCACCTCGTCAGCAGAGGCAAATTCATAAACCCAGTATCCCGCATTTCTTTCCTTGCATGTTGCTGTGCCGTAACAAGTTCGTGGCTATGTGCGACGTACGAGTAGCTTTCCTACCCAGCTCTCCGCCGTTGCCCACCAGCGTTGAAGTTACCGGTTTTCTCGACAAGGAAAAGAATATGGTTTCGTCCATGTGGAATCGTCTTTGTGTTTTACGATTGGGTGGGATGTCGCGTTTCTCACACGACGGCTAACAGACCGGATTTGGATTCAAGCGACCTGCGCCTCGGAGGGGTGAAATCTGTCAAAATATTCCAGTGTTGCCCCAACGCATCCAGATGAACTGTATCGCAAATTGCCTATCCACCAGGCGATGGGCTAAGGATCCTCTGAAAAGTCGGTCAGGGTCACCTTTCTCCCTCGCCCTGCCTACAAACCCACACCTTTGAGAAACTTTTCATAAACATTTATCCTTCTTTTAGCATCAGTGGTACAAATGTAAGAACGTCGCTTAACGCCAGCAAGACCGCAAAATAGGCGCCTTCTTTTCTTCCCAACGCACTTTTTATTTTTGTGCTCTTAGATCGGCGAGGGTTAGTGCACATTTTGACGTTTATAGGAAGAGGAGAAAGGGGGAGGGACAAGATAAGGCAGTACCGCCCTTCCCTGCCAGAGCGCTATCACACCGCCTTGGCTGCTATAACTGGCACGATCAGAATAAATCATGCCAGTCCATACAGCGGACGAGGCTGAGCATGCGCGATTAATTGGAGTAGTCCAATGTCACGATGATACGCGGGCAGGGTATGGCAAGGCTCGATCCATATTCAGGGAAGGCCTGAGACCAATCACTTGCTTTGCCGTTTGGCCGCATCCTGGCACAGAGACCGGTGCACGAGTTGAGCTAAAAAAATACTATCTTAATCGTTCTTGTACTTCATTGTTTCAGTGCTGCACGGCGAGCGCGCCACTGCGACGTGTGTCTTCAATTCCGAGTTCGGCTTCACCATCGACTGCGCCTTTAAGAAATCCGGCCTTTTTCGGGTCAGGAACTTGGGAGGAGTCAAGGGCTTTGCATCTCTAGGTAAGTAGCACGCTGTAAGGAGAAGAATATCCCGTATACAATATTTTAAGATAAAGAGCATTCTTCAAGCACCCTGCACTGAGAAATATGTTTGGCCATCACGACCGAAAAATTTGGTTGTTGTAACTAAAATGGTGTTTAGCCTGTCCCCTGAGTTATAATCATAAGACGTTCTGTTGTATGTATAAACCGGTGTGTTTGGAAACGCTTAGCCAGCACGTCAAAACGTTTAATGGTTGTGACTGAGGGGGCAGACTAAACACCGCATTTCGGTCAAAACAACCACAGTATTTTCCCCCGTTAGTAGAGGTTTTAAGGACAGCTAATGTTTTACACGATTGGCGGTTTTCTAGTTCAGTACTCATGTGAAAGGTATACCTTTGATGTGTCAACTGCTGAAACACCACCATTTCTGCTGAGCGGCAGAGACAAGCTCCATACGCCACTTGTCGCTCCGGTAGAATAGGACAGCATTTTCGCTCCTGACGGTGCTAGGCGAGCAGTGCGGCGAGTGCACATCCATGTAACGGCGCGTTGGCCAATAGGGCACTGAGGTGGACGAAAGGGGGGGGGGGGGTGTCGGTGCCAATGGGTCTGCTTATACTAACGCCGCGTAAAAAGCAGAGAGCGCTACACGAGCATGACTGCGGCAAACGAGGCACGCGGGGCGGGAGGGCAGCAGTGAGCATGTGCAGGGGGCCAAAGAGTTTGTCGTCGTGGCGATGGCTCCATGGAGGCTATGCGTATGGAGACGCTGCGCGTGGATGCGCACGTCCACCACTGCCCGCGACTGCCTCTCCAGCGCCGCCACCGGAGCCGGAGAGGCTCTCCGCCCTCCGCCTGCTGACCTTGAACGAATTCCTCACCGGACGAACAGCTGACCGACGCCGCCCTCCTCAGCCTCGCTGGCGCTCCTGCTCCCCTCTTTTCCCCGCCTCGGTATCGGCCCGCGGCGGCACTCTCCGTCATTCTCACGCCGGCTTGATCGGACAAGGGTATCATCACCGACATCCTCATTGCTGACGCTTTAGAATACGCGTGCGGAGAAAGGTGTTCTCCGTAAAGGATCCGGGGAGGGGGGGGATCGGTAGTCCGGCGCGCGCGACAGCGCAGGGGGACGCGGTATCGTCACAGTGAAAGTCACACGCCGCCCCGGCGCGACGCCCCGGCAGCCGGCCGGTGCACACCACCGTGCGGGGCGGGGCGGCGTGGGGCGGGGCGGGGTACTCGAGTTAAATCACAGGTGATGTGAGACGAGCAGACGAGGCGTTGCCCCCCTTGCCCTGCGCCTTCTTGGCGGCGCGGCCTCAATGCAGGACCCGCGCCTGCCGTCAGTGGCGTCGATCAGCGTGACTGACGACTGACGAGGTCGGGTCAGTTTTGAGACTGACACCACACCGCCATCAGCAGTAGCAGCAGCGAGCCGCTCGCGTGGTGTGGCCTGGTGGGGATGGGCTTATCCAGGTCAGCCCCGCCCCGCCCCGCCACCAATTACCAACGCGTCGCGCCAAACCTCGGACTGCCCTCGGCCTAAGCATTTTCACTCGCCTCGCCACCTCCTTATACACTGCCGGGAACAGTAGGTTCCAGTGTGATGCGAACGATGATATTGTGGTCCACACTGTGAACGCTACCCGCACATGCGCGGTTACGGCAAGACTGGGAGTTTCTTTTGCACGACGAGATGTAGTCCCACCCGCAGGCAGCATGCGCCATAGAGCACGCTTATTTTAGCAATACCGTAAAGAATAGTTTTACTTTGAGCCACACTCCACCACACTCAATAGGGTTTACCTTTTCTTTTTTTTTTTACACGCCCGCCCAATTGTTTTTGATTAACGCTTTGATAATTTGCTTTGTGGCTTTTTTTCTTGGAGGCAGAAGAAGTATGATGGATCCCAGGGGGCAACGTTATTGGCACGTCTGGGTGCGGCTCTTAAGTGACGTCTCCCTCGCTGTTTTCTCCCAATCTGAAGAATAATTACTTCTTTGATGTTTTTTCATGAATTCGTCGTTTTCCTGTTTCAGGTTTCAGCGTGGGCGATGAGCTGGGCTTCAAGGAGTCACTCTCCAACGTTGAGAACAACCGTCGACGCTCCGTAAGCCGCACTTCGGCCCTGTTGGTGAGTAGGGAGTAGGGGGTAGGTAGGCTGCTCAGGGAGGCGAAGGGCGAGATACGAACGGCGGGAGCTAGTCAAAGTCATGGAGAGTGATGGGGGTGACGTCGGAGTGGGGATCATCAATAGAGCACGTCCACCATGCGCAGCGCCGTTACGACTATTAAGTTTCAGCCTCAGCTAGCTCTCATAGCGCCTGGGAGGTAGGCAACATCTTGTCTGCAGTGCATGCGTGTATTGCGGGGCGGCCTACCCCGAGTCTCGCAGGCGCCGTGCTCCCGTATAGTTTTGCCCACTGAATCTGAGAAGAAAAACGGACGCAACTTCTTGACAATCCCTGTGCCCGGCGTCGGCAACTGACACCGCGAATGGGACGCCGCTCATCGTCGCCAGGTGGCGCAGCAGTGGCTCCTCTCCGGGTCAGGAGGTCGGCCGGGTCCAGAGTCCGGGGTCGGGTTAAGCGGGGCCGACTCATCGCGGGTCGAGCCCGGAGCCGAACCTGTTATTTGATGATATCTCGGGTCGGTATAAGAGGAGGGGAGGAGGGTGGTGGGGGAGGGCGGCCGCCGCCACTCCCACCTGCACAGGCGGTGCGACCCCACCTCAGACCAACCTCTCCCGCGTATATGCACAACACACTCTGCTTTTGCTGTGCGCCGTGGCGCCACTTCACAGGTAGGAGAGAGATAAGCAATAATCAATTTTAAAACGCGATACTGGTAAAACGTTAGGCAACTTTATGTGCTTGATTGTGTTGATTCACCCCGTCCATATTTTTGGTGCGTACCGTTTTGCCCATCGTCTACATATGACCTTGAGACGATAATCGCGGAACGAATATCATGCACCCTGTCCTAAAGAAGAGTTACACATTTGAAATATTTGACGAGTGACGAAGCGTATGGTTTCTGTCCTGCACGATATTCTTTTGCACCGCCAAATTGCGGTCCATACATGTACACGTACATGGTTCATTTTGCTCTGTAGCGCGCTTGTCAGTGTCGGGCACGCCTATTGTGTCTCTTCTCGTGTCACCTTCTCACCTCCACGTCACTCGCGCTCACAGTGCAACCCCATCGACCCGCCCTTGACCTGCCGATGAGCTAACCTGTCCTCTCCTCTCCCGCCCGGAGACCCGGCGTGGCGTGGGCTGGGAGGGTCCTCCTGCTGAGCTCCGGTCGTGCGGGTCCGGCCCGGTCCAGCCGCCTGCATGCCACTGCCGCCCGGCCCGCACCCGGCACGGCAGTGAAAGCCAAAAGTCAGGCGTGGCCGGGCGTGGCGGGGCGGGGCGTGGCCGGCCACGGCGGGACGCGGACAAGCCTTTGCTTGCATATGGGCCCTTGCCATATGTCCGTCGGTACACGCAGCCCCCTCCCCCTCTCGGCCCCACCGCCAACGCACGCACCACGAGGTCAACGCAGCGTTTCGTATGTCGGCGCTCACATCGCGCACGAGTGTGTGTGTGTGTGTGTGGTAGTGACGCATGCTGGTCTGGACCGGAGAGAGAGACCACAAGAAAAGAACTACCATAATTTCGACCGAGACGGGGGCCGGATGCAGTATACTAACTGGCGTGTTGTCCATGGAGTATGCATTATATGATTAACTGTCATTCCTAATATGAGTCTACGCTTGAGGAAAACGATTAAAATCAGAACACAACTTCATGGCGTATTGTTCGGAAATACCTCATCTGTGGTCTGTGGTGTGAAGGATTCGCACTTGACCTGCAGGAACACCCCTGTGGTAAGGTGAAGGACGGAAGGATGGTTTGACGTTCGAAAAGATTCGAGCGACAGGACCGCGACGTCCTGCTATGTACCGGTCAGGTGCACATTTCAGAAGCGTTTTAAGCTTGCCTTTAAGGTTTTCTTTGGTGCCTGTGGTGTTATTTGAAATTACTCTCTTAGTAACACCACCACCCAGCCCAATAGATCTGAACAGTTAGACACGGTTAGACATCACGACAGACTATATTCTGCTCAAATAACGCTGCACAAAGACAAAAAGAAGACCTTCGGTACTCCTAGCATTACTACAGTCAGTATTTGCATTCGACTGGGATCGCAGCAATAAAAAAATACTCCTTGGATGTTTTTTTTTTCATTTGTTGACAGTTTCTTCTAGTAGTATGAATGAGCTTCACGAGTTTACTGCTCTAATGCTACGCAGGCAGCCTTGACCGATCAAACTCCTCGGCATTTCTTGTTGTAGTCCTGCACCGGATAAAAAGCGGTCCTCGCGTTGGCCTCGGGAAAGAAAGGTGCGCCTGTCAGGTACAGTACCGGTAGGCCATGGCTCACCACCTGGGACCCAAAGGGATTCGGTGCCTCACAGGTAGGGTCGTCCTTGTCTTTGGTCAGAGGCACTACCCAGCGAGCAAGGTGCCTATGGTAGGCAAACCCGCAACACTCTGGTGTGTCGTAGCCCCGACACACGGTGGTTGCACCGCTGGCCCCCTCCGGATCAAGAGCCCCGGACTGCCCCCGGCCAGCGGGCAGGACGGGCTCGGCAGGAGTAGCCTGCCCGTGAAAACTGACCTCCTTCCTGCGCCGACACCGTCATTCCAGCGACGCGACGCCCTCGCGGAAGCAGGCGGGGACGGCCTGCTCCCACACAAAGCTAATTCACTCTCCGACTCTCCGAAATCATCAATGTTCCCCTCGGCGTTAATCGAACTCGAAACATCACCCTCACTCCTCCGGCTGCACTCCTTTCCTTCCCCCTCCCTTCTCCTCCCGTTCAGCTGATCTAGTGAAAGTGCGGCTTGCTTCTCGTAATGGACGCCCTGCCACGCCCCGCCACACCATACCACGCCCCGCCACGCCCCGCCACGCCGTGCCACGCCGCGCCCCGCTGGCAGTGGTCGTGCCTCCCGCGCCCACATCCTTTGCCCCACAGCAGGTGCGTTGCCCGGAGGAGTAGCGAGCAATAGCTTCTTTTTTCAGTATGGCTACATGCTGCATGCCGCCCCCCTGTCCTTGACAGCGCTACTCCCCGCTATACCAATGCTCATCGCATGGGATTCTTCAAGACGTGTCAACCCGAAAATAACACGTGAGATGTGAGCCAGCGTGGGGAGGGCGAGACAGCGGAGGGGTCGTTTTGCGGAACCGTGAATATCTTTGTTCGCATTTCCAACTTGTTGTATTTTACGAAAACATTTAAAAACTATGTGTTGTAGATTTACAAGCGGTATCTTGAATTTTCCACAAGCTCGTCGACAAATTCCAAGTTGATAATTAAATCTTTTCATAATAATTGTTGTCGATTTACAATTTCAAAACATGGAACTTTACAACATTTCTCAGGAATTTTCTTCACAGAAGAAGTGACATGCACAGTGTACATGATCGCACAATGAAAGTTTCTCAGGGCTGTTGATCTAGCTCATGGTGGCGCCTGCCACTCAGTGGATAGGCCAACCCGTCAAGCATCTGTGTGTGATCGCAGGACCGCCCTGAGTGCCCAAGCAGCCCAAGTCAGCCCAAGTGCGGTGGCTTTGGGCAAGCAGAACGTTTGAAGCCCAACCTTTCTCCACTCTGTAGGCGCTCATGAAAATCCAACAGTGTGCTTAGCGTACTGTTGAACTGTGTGCTCGGCTTGGAAAAGCATGCTGATTAAACAGTTTTCCTGGGCAAACACACTGAT